GCAGCCATGCCCCGCCCCTTCCTTTCTCCCGGGTTCAAGCTCGTGCGTGCCAGAGTCCAGAGCGAACAGCTAGGATTGCTGAAATCCATTGCAACTGTAGTGTTTGATATCTTAATCTTGATCTGTTCAACGTGCTGGATGAAAGGTATCGTCAGGAACACTTCCCCCTTATCCCTCTGTCCCTTCTCTCTGCACATTCCATTCTGCGAGCGACCGCCCCGCTCAAATGGCGATTTCTGCCTCCGTTTGAGAAGCGAAGGACAATCCGGAGCAGGTTTAGGCGTATTCTTTACAAAATTGTCCTGATTTCGCGGTTTTCATTTTTGAAATCTTATACTGTTTAGTATAAAGTTGTTATTAATGTATCATGTTGTAGGTATACTAATAATTTACATTTAATCACGTAAAAACCCTAACGTAAGCCTACCCCGGGTAAAGACAGGTTTACGTATCTACGCAAATCGTAATGTACCTAGGAAAGAAGTTTGAGTTGGTACTAAAAGGCAATGTTTCGGGGAATTACAGTTATTTGTCCCCTTAATCAGGCAAAAATAAATAAATGGAACACATTTTAATCTTGGTCGATAGTTCGCCACCGCCGGGACTACAACCCAATGGTCCTGGTAAATGTCGCAGCAGAGCAAACGGCAATGCTGGCTACAGCTGATCTAAACTCAGTATTTATGTGAGATGAATTGATAAAGTTTATTCTAAAGAGAAGTTATATGTTGGGTAATTGACTAGTATATTAGATTGTCTTGTAGCAAGTCAAATTTTAGAAGACTCGCGTCGAAGGTCACATTGGTACAAACGTGTCTTCCAATGTAGTCATTTCTAATAAATACGTTTACTTGAATTTTTCATTCTGAGCGTTCGTAAAACAATGAAATATTGTTTGTTGTTTGTTTGAAACCGGACACTTTGAGAATTTTCCATTGGTCCTCCACTGACATGTGCTGAAATTGCTGGGATTTTTTTATTTGGCACCCTAAGGCTCACAGTGTTGCTGGTAAACTTTGACACATATTTACCGCCAGGGAACGCCACAACAACGGTCTCAGCAGTATTCATTCATTTTTAGACGCTCCCCGCAGTATATAAATATAGTACCCTTTTGCGTGTCAGACCCGCATAAAACGGGTCTACCCGTATGATAGGGTAGCATGAAATGGTACTACCCGTATGAGACCTTACGAAATGAGGCGAAGAGTTTTAATGGGTACCCGTATGAAGCGGTTCTGGCAATATTTCACAAATGCTGGCAAACCTGCCTTTTATTTTCAACATTTAGCGTTAACTTTTTCAAAATTTAGCGTTTTTATTCTTCGAGCACTCACACCTATTTTTGAGACATGATGATTCGCGCGTTGTATTTTTTACAATATCCAAAATTTTAACATTTCTATATTTAATAATTATCCTTTCTAATAACATTTATTTCAGTGTTTTATATAACTTTGAATAACAATGAGAGAACATAAACATGAAAACATTTCCTTATATCATAATATATCTTTAAGGAACAGATTTTATTAGGATAAAAAATCTCTATCTTCGTAATTATTATAATGGTAGAAAGACGCTAAACAAACTTCCAATGTTTGCAATTTTCGAAAAGTCAGGGTTTTCAATGACAATGAAACCTGCAAAATTCTCTTAAACATTCTACACACTATCTAACAAAAAATGTAATCAAAAACGATATAGCTTTTTTTTATTTTGAAAATGTCCGAGGGACTTCATGCAAAATACCCCCTAAAATTAAAATATCAGTTTCAAATTCATGAGGCCGCGACATCATTCAGTTCAATTTGGGTATATCAATTTTGGAGAAAATCAGCTGAACGGTGTAGCGGAACAGCTAGCGTTGTTCACAGAGAGAAAGACACGTTTTGCCGATATTCGATTTGTCGGTATCAAGGACACACACACCGAATTTAGCAACTAGATTTATCCACTTTTTCGCTACTTTTTCTTACTTAAAGGACCTGTTGGAAAAATGAACACCAGAACTTGCGCGTTGTAAAATGAACAGCAGACACATCTTTACTCTCACATTTATCTCCCAGAACTCAACAAACAGTTTAGGTAATCTCTGTTTCTGATATAAGGAAGAAGTATCAATAAACGAATACCAAAAAGGAATTCTGAAGCGCAACATTTCATGTAACTATGAAAAATGTTCCATTGTTGTTCTTTTTACAACATCGCGAAAGATTAAATTTCTTTTTTATGTGAAGAAATTTAATTTCAAAATGAAATTTTCGCGACGATTTAAATATTCGTGACGAAATAGTGAGATCGTTATGAGAGAAAACAGATTACCTGATAGGATAGATGCTATGACTCACTTTTCACTTATTTTTGCAAGAAGCACTTTTCCACTCAATAAAATCATTACATCAAGAGACACGGTAGGGTCTCTGTCAAACTACAAATATGCTACAGTGTTTCTCATCCCGAGAGAACAAGTGCCGTTTTTACTTTCTCTTAATCGCTTACGCATTATAGAGTACGGTACGTAATGCTGTGCAAACAAACGGCGAAAATTTTAAACAGAAAAACTATTACAGGACTTTGGTAACGAAACAGTGGATAAAGCCAGTTTCTAAATTTATTTAAAAATCCTCTAACACGTCGTGTGGCCATAACTCATGTATTGTGGGACCTTGATACCGAAAAATCGATTGACGGCAAAACGCCTGTGTGTCTGTGCGTCCATCTGTCCGTCTGTAAACAACGCTATTGGCTAAACCGTTCAGCCGCTGTCTCAAAAATTGATATTCCCCAATCGATTAGGCTAATCCCGGCCCCGAGAATTTAAAACAAATGTTCCAATTTTGGGGGATACTTTATATGAAGCCCCTGGGACGATTTCAAAATTTTAAAAAATGGCTTCATAGTTTTTTATTAAATTTTGATGTTGGATACTGTGAAGACGTTTAAGATAATGATGCACGTCTCATTTTAGTTGAAAACTCTGATTTTTCGAAAATTGAAAAATTCAAAATTTATTCGGAGTCTTCCTATAACTACAATTATGAATACAGAGATTTTCCTCGGAATTAAATCTGTTCTTTAAAGATATATTTTTGAAATAAGGCCAGGTATAATTTTTCGTAAATGTGAGTACTCTTGCCTGAAAGTACGGGCGAGAAAGTACGAGCTGTTTTAGCACCACTAGTTTGGTATTGAGAATATGTTGAAAAATACAAAAAAAATATATTTATGACAGTGTTCCCATCATGATGCAGAATGCACAGAGAAAATTCATCTTATTTAGTTCCACCCATTACCGAGAAACATGTAAGTAAAAATGATTTATTCTAAAATAGAGAAACGTCATCTAATTTTTCTTGATTTACAGACACTTGAGACTTACTTCTTTCTCGAATTTTTTTCTATTATAGCTACTGTGATAACAGATTATAAAACATTTAATTAAAATAGAAACAAGTAGTTTACGGATTTCCCTTACGGATAGAGTTTCCTTGTGTTTATTACTGTCTGTCTCTGGTGGGTTCTCTATGTACTCTTATGAATTCTTTGGCATTCTCGAGGGTTTTTATGGGTTCTTAGGAGTTCGTAAGTTTTTTATGAGTAATGAATTTCTTTGGGTTCTTATGGTTCTTAGGAATGAAAAGGGATTTCTAAGAGTTTTTAGAGGTCTTTATTTTTTGAGGGTTTCTTAAAAATTCTTATGGGTTCCTGTCAGTTCTTATGTCACACATTGGGCCGTATGAAAACACAAAACTCTAAAGGTCTCAATTTTCCTTCTCTGAATATCAGATTTGTCATTAGAATGTCAACATATTTATTATCCATAATTTCATCTACTATGTTTGAAAACCCTTAAAATGATTATTAATTATATTGTACTCCTTTTATCCTATTTATTTGGTCTTGATTTTCTTGAATGGTTCCGGTGACCCGTTATAATGGGCGACCCGTACTATACGTATATCCGTGTATGATACGGGTGACCGGAATGATACGGGTACCTGTATGTATGCGGGTGGATTTGCCATGTTAATACCCGCATGTACTAGCCCCGGATCACCGTAAGACCAAATACTCGTTAAACTCCAAGACCTCTATTTCTAACGACACCGCAATATTACACCAGTACACGAACCTTCTAGTGCC